ATTTTTATATATATATATATATCCCCATGTTTTTGTTTTGCTTCCCATTTCTTTCTGTTTTTTCCAGGTACAACTTGTTTGATCGCCCTGTTGTCAGATAAAGAACTCACGGTGGCCAACGTTGGTGATTCGCGAGGAGTCTTGTGTGACAAGGATGGGAACGCTATCCCCTTGTCACACGATCACAAGCCCTACCAACTGAAAGAGAGGAAGAGGATTAAAAGAGCTGGTGAGTCATAATGTTTTTGCTTTGGATTGAAGGTTCATCTTTTTTCTTCTCTACTCTGTCAATAATATAGACTTTTCCCCTGAGAGAGACTGAAAAGTACTAGACTGAGGCATCAGCAGATAAAATCTTCCATTATTAATACAGCACTTTTCAGTAGGATGTCATGGCACAGACAGAAATGGAAGCAGACTGACCTATCCCTTAATGAGCCAGCGTCGGAGGAAGAAGAGCAGCCTTCATCTTCAACAGCCAGTTGACCATCCCAGCCAGTTCCCTTGTGATCTCTGCAGGGAGCAAATTAATAAACAGTAGCAGCAGCATTACGGGCTTCTTTACATCAAACCGTGGCAGCAGCCTTTATGTGAGAGGCTGAGTCTGAAGCTCAGTGAGGTTTAGTTCCTAAAATAAGCAGTACATTAATCTAATTAATCAAAGCTATTTTTTTTCCCCTTATAGTGACTGCTAATGAGCACAAACATGTAAACTGTAGCAGGAGTATAGGGAACGAATATAAGAAACAGAAACCTTTCCGCAATGAATCTTTCTCGCTTTCATCACTTGTCAGTTTAGCGACCTTCCGGGCTAGCAGTTACGTTTGGATCATCAAGTTTAATAGCCAATTCTCCATGAATTTGTCAAAGTCTCTTTTGAACCCATTTCTGGTTTGGCTCCCACAGCAGCCTGCAGCAACAAATTATTTGATGAAGAAAAAAAATTCATCTTGTTTGTGTTAAACCTACCGATGAGCATTGCCTCCAGAGATGCATTCCCTCTCTGCCTCCACATCTTTCCCTGTAAGGTGGAAATAACAAGTTTTACCCTGAGTGTAAAACACTTTTAAAACCTACAGGTGATCAGTAGGCTCACACCAGCAGAAATGCCCACACGTGCGCAGTGTGTGCTTTCCTCTTGGTTTGCTTTTATTGCTGAGGAGGTGTAAGAGCAGTGGGACCCTTTCTATCCAGCCTAGTGACTTCATGAATTCACTTCTCTGTTACCTATTGTCCCGTTGTATTATCATGATCGATATGGCCACATCGTGCTGTTAATCTACAATCCAGTTTCTGCTGAATACTTTGACATTTTGGAACATCCCTTCTTTACATACAGTAAGTGTAAAATGGAAGCAAAGTGCCCAAATGGAATTATCAAACCTACATTGCTACTGTGACAGAAGTACCTGACTTTTTTCCACCAGCTGGATACTTTCTTGTCATGTAGAACTGAAGAAAGTGACAATAACCACATCATTATGTTACATTTCAGTTTTCCAACTTAACATTGCGCCATCAAGCTGCACCGTCCAGTGCCCTGTAGGTAGTTATAACGTGACTGCACATTTGTGTTTGTAGGATTAGATTTCATTTAAAAGTGAAATCCATATAGCCACGGTTGAGAAAATATCCTTCAAACCTCAGTCTGATATAAATCAATTAGAGGCAGCCTGAAATGGCAGCTCAAAGAAAAGCGTGACTTGCCCTGTGCATTTCAGTGGGGTGTTGACGTTGGGATGACAAGTCTGAACTAATCTGTCATTTTTCGCTGCCACGGTGGATGTTAAGGAGGCTCGCTGCTAGCTGCTGTCAGTGGTCAGGAATTAATTCAGTCCCTCTCTTTTCCCCACTGCCAGCAACTGCATACGAAGTCTTAGTCAAGCCACAACTTGAAAAAAAATTGCCATTTCTCAGTCGGATGTGACTCGAGCAGCTCTCGCACTGAAGCCCCAGAAGCCAACACTCAGGTTTCTTGTGGGAGTTCCTGCAGTGCAGCGAGGGGTCACTGGTACCCCAGCCCACAGCCAAACACCAAAAGGAAAGGCAGTAGCTAAGAGAAGAGGGCAGGGCTCTCCGTTTTGAGATGAGGTGCTGCATCGTGTGGAATTACCTGCCCCGCAGCGTGGCTGTGCAGTTAATAGCACCGGTTACAGGGTCTGGGTCAAGACTGACTCGTCCTTTCAGAAGATGCCGGCTGATGCACACGCATCTTGCAGCCGAATGAGAGTGGGGACCCACCTCTCTGACCCATTCCTGTGGGATAGGAGAATCCATGTCCTGCCACCAAGGATGCTGGTGTCCCCAGAAAAACACAAGGAATCTCCTTCTGATCAGGAACTTGAGCAATGTATCAGCGTAAGACAGTGGCCTTGAAACAACCATGGGTTTGGCTTGTGAAGAAACACTTGATTGCAGAGCCACAAGGTGACAGTCACTGATGGAAATTTAAGTCATTCACCTTGAACATAATCCTTAGAGCTCAGCTTTTGCTAACATGCAAAACGTTTGTGCGGTTGCCAAAAGGCTTCTATTTCTTCAATGCCTTCTCCAGTGGCAGCCAGCACTGCAGAATGTTTGCTTTTCCATGGGCATTTGTATGTATTCTGTAGGAATGGCTTTATAAAAGAAAATATTACAACAGACACTTCAGCAAATCACAGGAGTTCAGCTTGTGCCGTAGGCAGTTCCAGGTGCCACGTGAGAATGGCACCGAAAGCTCACTTTGCACACGTGAGCACAACCTGCAAAGACTGGAGTAAGTGTGCTGCGGCTGGTCAGCAGCATCAGCTGTCTCCTCTGCGGGTACAGTGACGGGTGCAGGCAGTGCTGTCCCCTCATTGTGTGTAAAATGTCTGCTTAAAACTGCCTCTTCTTAACTGCGTTTTGCTTCCCCTGTCATTCCAATGCGTACACATGGTTACGCTCCAGTTACTGTAGCCCTCATCACTTATGAAAGATCCCCGGGCTGGTGAGGAGGTGGCTGTGTAACCCTCAACCGAGGCGCCCTCAAAACCTCCAGCAGCATCTGGAGGAGGTTTGTTTGAGGGCACATGTAAGAGGAGCTGCAGCAGGCTCACCCGTCCTTCCTTTTTTTTGGCTATGGAAGGAAACATCTTCATAATGGAGACTCCTCAGAAGTACTCATGAAAACACCCAGCTAAAAAGTTGTGTTTCTGCTGGTTTTAACACAAATCTAACTTTCAAGCTTTAAACAACAATGAATCACTAAATGAAATGTGGTTTTGCGTGAAAGCAGAAGGAATTTACAGATTAGATCAGCCAGCCAGGAATGGAAATGCTATCTGCAAATTTAGGTGACAAGGTGACTGAAGCATAGGCTGAGTGCAGAGCTGAAAACATTCTGATAACTGCAAACAACAAAGACATTTATAAGAACACCAAAGCAGACAACTTACAGATATAAAAGACAACAGTTCACCTAATTTTGTTACACATTTTAATGGTGCATGCTTGCAAATTATGTGTCCTCAAGTGATTTTTCATTCATGTTGAGACGAGAGGAATATTGCTGTGGAACAGTGCGGACAGTGGCACGCACAGGAATTGAAGGTGCCTAAATTTTACTCTGACCTCGAACACTGTGTAGTTCCACAATCACACTGTGCAGCAGCCAGGTGCTGGCTGTGTCAGAGTCATCGATCTCAGTGTAAAACATATCCCACTCTAGGCAACCCCTGAATAGAATATTTTCAGCTAGCCTTAATCCAGGTGATGGGAAAATCAGTCAGATCTCACATGGCATTTTTCTGACTTGAAGTAAAATTTTGTGATGTTTGTTCACAACAGTTTTTTGGTCCTTTTTGACACAGCTTATTCAAGGCAGGTTGATAGAAGAGCCTGTAAGTAGTTTTTTTGCATTTGCTTCTTTGCTTTACACCTTAAAAGTGAAACGTAAGGCCTACTGCAGGGTGTTTTCAGTGTTGTTTCCTTCATAGATCTTCTGAAATGGGGAAAACGTGAACTACACAGAAAAAGGAGGTGTATTTCACCTGCTTTCAGTATTTTTGTTCTAGCATTGCCACAAGGCTGTGTGAACAGTAAGTTGTGCAGTACAGGAATACCTGTGTTCAATACGTTGCACATTGCCAACTTCTCTGCTTCAGCTGTTTCAACCGCACTAGCAACCACAATCCAGCTCTTCCCTGCAGCGCACTGAGATTTACTTAATTTACTCAGATTTACTGAATTTGTATCTCCTGCTTTTTGAGATATGTAACATCTGTACGCCTCAAGATTCTGCAGGATGAATTTTTGGGTGGGTCTGGTAGGAAGGCAGAGAAATGCTTTAACTTTAAAAGAACTGCTTTAAGTGTTGGTGTTTCTCTCCAGGTGGTTTTATCAGCTTTAATGGCTCCTGGCGCGTTCAGGGGATCCTGGCCATGTCCCGCTCGTTAGGAGATTACCCTCTGAAGAACCTGAACGTTGTCATTCCCGACCCTGATATTCTTACCTTTGACCTGGACAAACTGCAGCCAGAGTTCATGATCTTGGCGTCGGATGGTCTGTGGGATGCTTTCAGCAATGAGGAAGCTGTCCGATTCATCAAGGAACGCTTGGATGAACCACACTTCGGTGCAAAGAGCATAGTTCTACAGTCCTTTTACAGAGGATGTCCTGATAACATAACAGTGATGGTGGTGAAGTTCAGGAATAGCAGCAAACCAGAAGAACAGTAATTACCGGTGGTTCTCTGCCTCACTCTGAACTTAAAACAAATTCTTATATTTTAAACATAGTAGAAAGCTCTAGTAAATACCGTTAAGATTCTACACAAAAGGGACAGATCCCTCTGGTCTTTGTTCTTTGCTTAACAAAAGGAGCAATACAACAAATACATTCTGAGTGATTATAAGAATTAAGTTTGTTACCATGTACCTGTCCCCTGTGACCTTGCTGCTCCTTAGAAACTAACTAATCATCCATTTCAGAATTTTCTTTACAAATCCTGTGTAGACTTTTCATTTGATTCCTCACCTCTCATTTCTAACAGTCCAGGGTTCGTTCAGATGCACAGCAGGGTCGGGACAGTGCTGCTGCTTAATAGCAAGTGATAGGAACGATGCTGCTTTCCACTCGTAGGCGTGACTCTTCAGAATGATGCTCTCATGTTTCTCATCTCTTTTCTTTTTTTAATCTGCAGTGATAAGGTTGCATACGAAAAGGTTTCCGATTCTCGGCCTGTTATTGATATGAAGGAGGAAGAGGAGCCAACTATTAGCCTGCTGTCACAGAACTGGCTCTCTCGCTTTGTTTAACCTCCCCCTCCCCTTAAATAAATCCCCGCCAAGTATGTGATGAGGTAGAGTTAACAAATTACCTGAAGCCACATGTTTATTCAGTCTGTGCGTTACTCCAGTAACATTTCTTCTATGCCATATTGTATTCAAACCAACTAACGTTAAACTCCACCAAAATACTCTGAGGCTTGACACCTTCTATATCAAAAAATCGCTCTGTTGTGATAGGAGAATGTTGTTCACTGAGACTCACCCTTACGTTAGTTTTTTGGCATGGACATTTCATAGGCATGTAAAGAAAGTAATTCAAGATAAAATTAATTTTGTCAGTGACTATTTGGAAAGCTAATCAAAACATGTCATTCCTTAGAGCTACCTAGATGGAAGTCAAGCCTACTAAAGACTTCTTTGTACCACTGCAGTTGAACTTCTGGTGTTAATCCAGGGGAAGACCACTTCAGAACCATTTTTTGGTATAATGTATAAATGCCAGGCAGTGTCATTGCACTATCAAGATAAAAGCTTGTGTTAAAGCTAGATAAAGATATGTTTAGTTCTAACTTTCAGTATTTAATTGTATTTTGGAATCTGTGACTACTGTAAGTTTAAACAATGACAGTCTGAGTTTGCTCTACACCTGGTAACTTCGCTGGCTGCTTCATGATGGAGAGGCGGCAGCACAGAATGATGGGGCAGCACGGGTTAGAGGAGCAGGGCCAGGGCCCAAGGTGAAGGGTCGTATTTTGGATGGCTCACTTGCCCGTATTGTGTTTTATAATCATCCTTGGGATTCCCTCCCAGCAAAATGTGGTCCTGGATAATCCGTTGAAGTCTCTTGTCTTCAAGGTGATGGAGGTTGTCAGTATTTGGGTCCTGAGGTGATTCAGGGATATAATACATTAACTAACATTGTCGGTTTCTTGGATAAAGATACAACATTACTTGGTTTAAAAGCTGCCTGTTTCTCCTCACCCACCTGTAGCATTTTTGGGCAAGTGGCCAATCCTGTGATGTGCTGTGTTTGTGCTGAGCGGGTGTGATGTCTCTGAAGAAAAAGATGAAAGAGCACAAATTCTGCTCTCTGCTCGAGAAGGAATGCCCATTTTAGTCTTTTCATTTTTGTGCATAGGTTAGCTCTTCCCAACAAACTTCTGTCCTTTAGTTTGTTTGGAGATAATCACAACTCCTAACTGGATCTGTTGCTCTTACCAGTGCAACTCAATTGTATGTGTATCCTTTAGCAGCCTCTTCTCGTCCCAGACTGGGTAGAGCCCCTTGACTCTGAGGAACAGACAAGTGAAAAGCAGAAGGATGAAAGTGTCCAGCATCCTCTGAAACCAGCAGGCACACAGTCTGCACTGCTCCTTCCTGGGGGGATGCAAGGTTTCGGACTTTCCTGAACAGTGCATTCAGTGAATTTGAAATGCAACTTTGCAGTTAAATTGAGCAGCTAACAGGAAATGTTAATAATTGCAGAGTGCTTCAGTTATTTTATTTTGAAAAGGTATTTGAGGTCAGAACACTGTGAAATGAAAACCTTGTGTGATATTTTCATGGGAGTGCTTAACCATGTACTCATAGTGCCACAGCAGCAGTATCGAAACTGCTCCAGGCAGAGCTCGTGGTGCTTGTAGCGTTTGCCTTTCCTTTCTCCTTCACAGATGATGTTTCCGTTGTACTGGCTTTTCTTTGGAGGACACAGCCTGGATGGTTGTCAAAACAGCTGCCCAGGGAAAAGAGGAATTAGACTCAGCAGCCCACAAACTCTAAAGCAGAGGGACGCTCGTATAGCAGAGACATCACTACTAATCCTTCACAGGCATTTGAGAGGTTGGAACTGGAACAATGGTCAGCTCCAAAAAAAAAAATATAGACTAAGGCCACTTGAGTGAAAAACTGGCTGCCACTAAGCCTCCTGCAGCTGACGTTCTCAAGGTTAGCAAGCGTTGCTGAGGAATGCCCAACCTTCTCCTGAGCACAGCTCGCTTTCTGGTTGCTCTGCACTCAAGAGAGACAGGAGAGTCGGTGGCAGGAATCGTACGCATTCACAGACTCCCCAGGCAGCCGTGAAGAAGCAGTGGGAGGGTGGCTCGCTCTGGAAGTAAGCCACACTCACGGGACTCGGGAAAACACGTAGTGCTGTTTTGCAGACTTGGCTAGATGTTTATTCCCAGATTCATTTATTCCCTCACTCACAGGCCCATCCAGGCAGTTACTGAATCAGCCCCATTTCAACCTCTGCAGTTGCAGCAATAGTTGTTTCAGCACCTTCAGTGTTCTGTGCAACACTCCCACCTTTCTAGTAGCTCTTTCCTGGCCAAAGACATTCATGCCAATGATCTCTGGTAAGGTTGTTGACTTTTGTTTTTATTACTTTAAAAAACTAGTTACAGCTACTTTAGGTTTGAAGATGAATGACTAATGGAGATGAGAGGCCTTCTGCAGTCTTCCACATACATGTGCAGTGCCTCCCTATGCTCCCTGCTACAAGTCTTCTAAGGAAGTTCTTATCCAGATCTAGATAGACATCTGCAACTTTCCAGTCATGCTGCTTTGTGCCAAATTCTGTCGCGATACATCCAGCTGTTGGATGACAAGATTAAGTAATGTACATATTGCTTATGCAACCTAAATGATCTATGGTCTGATCCTCCACTGCCTTAATAACCTACCTTACATCTGGAAAGGGTTGCCAGACACTGCAGCCAGAAATATCCCTAGAGCAGCGCGGCAGAATGTGTTACAGCATCGCAGTGGCAGTACTCACGCTGTACTCAGGGCTGCTTTCCTGCCTGGGCACCTCTCCAAAAAAAGGAGATGCATTTTGGTTAGAGTGGCTTGCACACATCTGAGCGCTCCCTCTTGCTGTATATGTTTATGGAAGTTTTTTTGTTGCTTAAACCCGAATAGCTCCACTGGTGACATCTGTTCGTCAAGTAAGAGCATCACATGGCAGAAAACTCCTGTGTTAAGTTGCTGCCACAGAGCATCTTTTGTATGGTCCAGTATGAAAAAGTGCACCTTGTAATTAGTCATCTGAGCGGGCAGTTAAATGAACGTGGGCTCTTCCCAGCGGTATTACAAGCAAAGAGTTTAACTGACGTAGTACATTTCAGACATACTACCAGTTAGCTTTTCATTCCGACTATAGACTACCGCTTCGGTTCTCACTCTGATTATACACCAGACGGGTTTTAGGAAGGCTGCTCGTTCGTATAGGATCGGGCTGTCACCTTCGCCGTTTGTGGCTCCCGGTACGATTGTGGGGATCCCGGTCTGGGCGCCAGCCTGGTTCAGTGGGATCACAGCTCCGTCTAGTGGCTGGCCTGGCTTAGGCACGGTAACCGAGCAGTATTCCCTAAAAAATAGTTGCTCTCTTAACCCGTGGGAACGGTGTGATTTAAGGTCTCCTCCCCCCCGGTGCAGAGTTCGCCATGAGGTTGCTGCAGACCTGCTCTCAGGCTGAATGTCACAGCCGTGCTGACACAGCGCGGGCCGAACGCGTGACACAGCCAAGAGCCGCGGACACTCGGCTGCTGAACGCGCACAGCAAGGTTTGGCACACCGCCACCCTGCCCCGCATCCCCTGCGCGGGTGGCTTCGCAGCACCGCTGAATGTGTTCTAAACACGTGTTTGTGGGATCCAGATGTTGGGCAACACACCGCAGCCATCCCGTTAGGAAAGCCGCGAAATCATCACTGGCCTCAGGGGTGGCAGGAGAGAATATTTCATGTCATACACAATGTATGCCACTTCTTTTGTTGTGACATCCAGCACTACTGCTCTGGGCATATAGCTCCTGTCTCACCGGGAGGGATGGTCGCAGATGCCATTGTGAGGATTGTGTCAGCACTGCAGTCCTACAGTTTCTAAACAAAACTTGAAAGGAATGAGCCTGTTCTATTCAGTAGAATGTTTGGATAAAGTAAATGCCATCTATCATAATGAAGTATTATCTACTGACTTGTGAACTGCTAATGTTACTGCAGTATTATACCATTTACAGAAGGTAAAATTAAAAAAGGTCATGAAGTTTTCAGACCACAGAAGTTAGTACTAAAGCAGTGCATCAGCTTGAAGTAAGTGTTTGCTACATAAACACTAACGCTGTATCTTGAAAATAAGGTTTTGTTGTTCAGCTGCCTCAGAACAAAGGACATCCTTGCTTTAACTAATAATAATATATTGCTAATGTGTCTGATACTTATTTTACACAGAGAAGCATTTAGTAAAGTGATTATACTAAAGAAAAAAACCTCACTAGCCTTTCATTGTCTAAAGTAGGTTTTTAGGCCTCCGTCCTGAAATCTGTCTGTACAAAATTGCAAGGTTAAATTTCAGAATGTTCTGCTGAAGTCTGACAACTGTATAAGCCAGAGCTGCTCCCCCTCAGTGTTGTCAATATATTTATAAATTATCTTTCTAATCCCGAGGACTC